AGCAGAAAACTGTGGGGCCTGCTCAGACATCTACCTGGAGCCCACACAGGGCAGTTGGGCAAGTCCAGTGCACAGGACTCCACCTGAGTCATAAAATGAAGGCCATAAGGGTCACACTAAGGAGACCTGTCTCTGATATGAGAACACCTGGCTCCTTACCTGGCTCTGCCACCCCTTCCCCCACTATCATCACTCTACTCATTGGGTTGTTGTTGTGAAGACAAAGAGAAGTGGTCACCAGTGCTCCGCAGGGAGTAAGTGATGTACCATTCTTGGCCACTCATGTTTTACTGAACTTGGATGTAAGTAACACAGGCAGCAGCTTGATATTGAGAAGGTTAATAGACCAACGTTATGTAGACTATGTTCAAAGAGAAGATCTGCATAAACTAGATCTCAATGAAACTCTTTCAAGGAGTCAGAAAAATATCAGGTAAGAATGGATCAAAATATAGTGCTTAATTTTCAACTTTGACCTTTTCCCTTGTATCTGAACGTGATTATCTCTGGATCTCTTAGAGGATGGACTTTAGCAGGAAGTTCCATGGTCTGTAGTGGTCCTTATAGGCCACCAGGGTTTAATAGAACATCCTTTTCAGGCTTATAAATTAATTGCTGGCAGCTGATGTATAGATGGCACCTACTCTGTGCCCAGCCCTGTTCTGAGGACTTACAGGCTGTAACTAATTCAGGCCTCACAACAAGCATAGGTCTCTTCCCATTGTACAAGATGTGTAGATAGCACCTACTCTGTGGAGTTACAGGCTGTACCTAATTCAGGCCTCACAACAAGTCTAGATCTCTTCCCATTGTACAAAGAGACCCCGCTGTGAAACCCCACAGCCGGCTTGGCTAAAGGCATGGGAGGCGCCTGCTCTTGGCCTGGACAACAAGATCAACAAACATCTCACTGCCATCAAGATGTCTCCAGGAACAGATCCTGTCCTGAATTTCGTTCTGGGAAAGTACCTCCCCAACCAACTTCTAGATATTGGCATGACCTTAAGGAAGAAGAGGTTCACCGCCAAGAATATCCTGGAGGCTAGTGTCTCCACAGCCCTGGAAGTGAGTGGCAGAGCCAGTCTTACAGAATCAGTGAGAAATTAAACTACAAAGTTTCTTGTGTCCAAATACTGTAGAGCTAATTTCTTCAACTCCAGTGGGGTCTTGACTTACGAGTTTAATTCATTCCCTGATGGAGCTCGTTAAGGAGCTCGTTAACTCAAATTACTCTGTCAACTCAAAGCAAAAAATTGGCAGAGAGACAGCTGGTGTCTCGAAAAACTCATTAGTCTGGACACTCGTAAGTCAAGGCCCCACTGTAACTTACAATGAATGAAAAATTAATGATCATATACTCTAAAGATCCTTGTATCGATTTTATTTTCAGTGAATCACTGAGAAGAACAATAGCTCTCACTGAATGTTATTACTTTTATTAAGTATGGCAAGACCTTAAATAAAGAATATTAGTGTGAGTGTATCTTAGGTCTTGGTTGAGCCTGATTACTGGTCCAATATAATTCTAACCCCATGTTTATGTCCCACTTCTGACTGAGGAGCTCACCTCTACAGCAGGGTCTGTCATAGCAGGTGCCCCAGAGATGTCACTCCAACACTGAAACCAAAGTTTACTTCAAAGGTCCAGTTTCTGAACTTAATTTGGGGACCCGAGTCAAAGGACCTTTGGGAGCAGAAACCATCAGGCCAGCAATACAAGCACTCACACCTTTTGGTTTATCTATTTCTGCTTGTGAACACTTCTTTTATTTTTTAAAATATATTTTATTGATTTTTTTTTTACAGAGAGGAAGGGAGAGGGATAGAGAGTTAGAAACATCTATGAGAGAGAAACATCGATCAGCTGCCTCCTGCACACCCCCTACTGGGGATGTGCACGCAACCAAGGTACATGCCCTTGACTAGAATCGAACCTGGGGCCCTTGAGTCCGCAGGCTGACGCTCTATCCATTGAGCCAAACCAGTTAGGGCGTGAACACTTCTTTTAAATGAATCTCTTGTGAGCCCAGTTATAGTTCTTTGACGCACCTGAGAATGGTCATCGGGGGCTCTGGGGAAAACATGGAAATAAAGAAACACAGCCTTTATTTTACACGACATGGGGTTGTTTATGCTATGGGGCCCAATGTCCAGAAGACAACAGGGCAGGTCCATAACCACGGGGACACCAGCAGAGACCTCACTGGGTCCTGTTCAAGGAGAAAGTGTCCCATTCCATTATGAATGTCATTCAGGTGCCTTTTGAATGATGGCCAACAATGGTCAACTGGGAGAAGGTGCGCACATAAGAACACAACCTTCTTTATTCCTAGCTTCTTCCTAAACCAATATTGTTCTTGGAAACTTAGGATGCAGCTGAATGATGGAAAGAAATGGGTCCCAAATCATCCACACAGAGGACAGTGCATTCACGGGTCATTAACTATTGGCTCATCTCTCATGTTCTCTCATCCATTTCTTTTCTTTATTCTAAGCCACGTTGGCTGTCTTGTTCCTTCATACAGTCACTGTTTAAACTGACGTGTGTTTTCTATCTTATGAGGTGGCCTTCTCCTGTCCGACACCGAGAGGCACACTCTCCATGCTTCCCGTCCCTTGCCGAGTGCCATCTGCACTCAGGGCCTCTGTACATGCTGTTGCCTCTCCTAGAATACACTTCCCCAGAAGGTCCCTCGGATTCACTGTTCACTGAAGCAGGAAATTTCACACACATAAACAGTCCTGGTGGGATAGCCCGCCGGGACCTCCTTGCAGGATGCTGCCCTAGTGGTTTTCTGTGGTTCATGACACAATCACTTTCCTTTATCTCATATTTAATGGAAAGCTTGTTTGTTGACATCCAGTTACAGATAAGCTGCACAGGTGCAAGGTCTAGGTCTACCTTGTCTCTACAGCTGAATCTGTGACAGGAAGCACAGGGCCCAGTCTTAGGAGAATGATGACTGTTATGAACATTGATTCTTAAAGGAATGGATGGATGGATAGATGGATGGATGGATGGATGGATGGATGAATGGTTGGATGGATAGATGGGTGGGTGGATGGACAAATAGAATGATGTTTGAACAGATAGATGGATGGATGACTGAATAGTTGAATGGGTGGATGAATGGATGTTTGGATGGATGGCTGGAAGGATGGATGCTTGGATGATAGGTGGATAGATAGATTAATGGATGGATGAAAGGATGTACGTATGTATGTATGTATGTATGAATGAATGCATAGATGGATGCATAGATGTGTAGATAAAACCTCTGATTTAGTCATGATTACCCTTTCTAAGCCCTGTGCTAGGCTTCTACATGGAGTGTCTGGCATTCTTACAAAAGCAGCCTTGGTGTCATTTATGCTCATTGTAGAAATGGAAGCTGGGCACAACCAGCACTATCTAATCCAAGGTCACTTCATGGTTAGCAGTGGCATTCAAGATGCAAATCCACATCAGCACGCACCCAGATATCATCCCACCATCCAGCACTGCCTCCCTTAAGCATCAGTAATTCTACTTCTCACATCACCTACTGAATCAGTGGAAGAAAAACCCTAAGGCTAACAAAACTGAACAAAATGTACATCAGTAATTCTACTTCTCACATCATCTACTGAATCAGTGGAAGAAAAACCCTAAAGCTAACAAAACTGAACAAAATGTAAGTCTATATTTTACTAAATTTATAAAATTGGCTTAACTAATGAGATAGTCTTTATACAAACAACCTTCAACCAAGGCGAGAAGCTATTGCCATTGTCCAACAGAAGGCAGCTGACTCAGTCTATGGGCGAGGAAAGCCTGCCCTCCACAGGCGCTGGGCGGTATGGCCCCCAGCCCAGGTGATTGGTGAAGGAGGAGGCACAGAAAGAGGATGTGAAGATCTCTGTACTTGGCAGAAGCAGAAGAGAAAAAGAGGAGAAAGGCGGGTGGAGGGAGAAGGGGAGGGGAGGAGGCACGTGGAAGGGTAGGAAGAGCTGGAGGAGGAGGAAGAGGTAATGAGGACCACAATAATAAAAAGACAAGAATGACAACACAGACTCACAATGCTGTAATTTACCTTCTTATTTCACAAGCATGAATTTCATCTAATGTCATTACCATGATTGCAGTTCTGAAAATTCTCAGGTCTTTTTAAAGCTCTGTTTGCTTGGCTTCTACAAACAGACCACGGACGGGCTGGGTTCTAGATGATTCTCCTGTCTTTTCTGGGCCCAATGCCAGGTTCATCCTGTGACTCATTCCATCATCTGTGGGAGGGATTAAGTGGCCGCCAGGAGAATAAAAGGAGGAGTCTGGGCTCTCACCTCCAAAGTGATCCTTCTTCCCTGCCACGTCCAGTGACCAGCCAACAGCAGCCGCCTGAGCCATGAAGCTGGTGGTGGTCCTCATGCTGAGCGCCCTCCCCCTTTCCTGCTATGCCGGTGAGTGCTGACAGGGCCAGGCTTTGGGGGAGGTTGGTGTCAGGGCCCCTGTGGCAGACCTCCTGCTCCCCAAGCCCCAGTCCAGAGCACCTCCTTTCTCTGGTGTCTTCCTTCCTCATGGCTCCATCGTGTTTTGTTCTCTGGGCTGCGGAAGCCAGGGAGCTGGGGGCCTTTGGAGTGGGAGGGGGGACAAGGAGGCAGATGTCTTGCTGCTCAGAGAAAATCCAAGACCCCGAGTTTGGATTTGAGGTCTCGGACCATTGCCCATAATCTCTCTGAATGTCTGTCTCCACTGGGAGGTAAGAAGATGACAATCGTCATGGTGACGCCCAGCAAGGAGTTGGTCCTCTGGAACTGAGCCTGGCTTTGTGTGCTCTCTTCCCAGGTTCTGGCTGTGCATCGTTGGAGGACATGATTGATAACACCATTGATCCTTCGGTGACGGAGGATCAATACATCGAAGGTCTTGAAGAGTTCATACCGGGTGATGACACTGAACAGTACCTCAGGGAATTTAAGCAGTGCTTTCTCAACCAGAGTAACAGAACTCTGAGCACTTTCAGCGAGATGATGGTAATGTGGGTTTCTTCCTACCTGCCCTTGAAGCACTGGCCAGGGACAGGCGGCCTCTCAGTTTGCTACTAACTTCTGAGAAGCTAGTGTTGATCACGCTTCCTGTCACCTCAGTGAACGTGGGAGCTGACATCCAGAAAGCCATGCAAGGGGCCGGGGCTGGTTTGCCTGCTCACGTGGTGGAGTCTTTAGTGAGTGACACATGAGAAAGGCCACGAGGGAGGAGAGTGCGTGGGCAAAGGCTTGCCTCCCCCTCAGCCCAGAAACATCTGATTCTCAAGAGGACCCTCACGTTGACGAGTGATAAACACAAATAGGAAAGCGTTTTAAAGAATTTCCTAAAGAGAGCAGAAAGCTACATGTCCGGCAGATCCCGCCTCTCAGGAACGTGATTCCCAGTGCCCTTCGGAGCATCCAAAGTGTCTTATTTGCTAGAATAACTGGTTGAACGTCCTGGCCATGAAGGAAGGCCCCATGAGTGACAGGTGGACACCTTGGCTATGAACCCGCCATGGGTGGTGGAATTGTTGAAAACAAAAGTCAGTATAAGCAAGGAGACCTTCTTTCTATTTAGAACAGATATGGTTCAGATTTTCCTGGTATTCATTCCCTACGCAAGCAGCCCATTGCAAACCGTCCAGGGCAGCAATAGAGAAATATTGCCCCAGCAGAGACATA